TTTTGCAGTCCTTCCAAGTTTCAGGTCTACAGTGAAACTGCAAGTACCAGTGGTCAGAGCGATCTAAAAATAGCAGGAGTGCTGCAAATGCTGCAGCTCTTCATCTGGAAACGATCAGAAAACAAATTTAGATTTACCGTATTTGTCAAAAATCTCCTTCAGGCGTTCATCGTCCATGTCGTCGCCAAAATTCTTGATGTAAACGTTGGTAAACTCCTTAGCTTTGGCACCGAGTTCAGCCTCCCGTTCTTTGCGAGATTTGAAACGACCCACAAACCTGAAGGCAGAGGGAGAGCAGCACAGGCGCACTCTTGGAAAACAGGCTTGACAAAAGAGAAAAAAGCAAAAAACAACAAACCAGACTCCATCTCTTTTGACTTCCACTTTCCAGTCTACAAAAACACTGGCTGTCCGGGGTTCCACGTTAAGAATGATCAGCAAAAACCTAACCCCGCAAACACAAGAACAGGGACAACATCCACAACACAAATTCACAGCTACGTTTCATCACGGGACTCATCATTCCTGGGGTGAACAACGTGTACGATCCATTCAACTGCTGTTAATACCACCAGAGGCAGGCAGATATGTCGGCATGCTAGACAACACATCTTAATTCTTGGTCCAAAACTTGATGTGAAGGTAGATGGAGAGGGATGGAGGAACAGTACAAACGAAAGCTGAGGAGGACCAAATGATCTTATATACCTTGCCATGATGACCTCTCCCCTTCTGCCATCCAGTATTGCATTCCTGCATTCGATCCATCACTAAAACACACAAGCATGGTCATACACACACACACAAACACTCCAAGATGGGTGACCAGCAAGTGAACTGAGGCAACAGAAAATGCAACTGGTAGGAAGGAAAGGTAAGAGGTTTTTAGTCTGTTGTCTCTTAGTTTAGAGGCTATCGTCAGACTGGCGGCAGTAAGAGATAAGAGAGTTCTTAAGAGATGAGTGTATTAGTCATATTATTCACACACAAGCTCACCAACTGAAAAAAGACACAAAAAGTCAGTTGACGCAACACAAACGTAGAACACACAAGTCAGATTTATGCATTAGACACAGAAAACAACACTGATGCACATAAGCTGCGGTTTTCAATATCATGATAACTTTCATATTATATCAAAGTCAGCTTGAAATTCTTCAAAAGTCTTCCAACAACATTAAACATCCACACCTCCAGTTCAGAGATTATCAGACACTCACACCTTGCGGTCATTCAGAAGCATGCCGTTCATCTTCTCGATGGCGCGATCAGCCGCGTCCTGGGTCTCAAAATGGACAAAGGCGTACCCCTTGGAGCCGTTTTCGTCACACACCACCTGGAGTGCAGGGAGACGCACATACACACGACTATGAATGAAGGCAGTTCTTTCATTTTGAAGCAAGTTGGACATTTGGAGAGTGGCGTAAGGCGACGCAAATCGGTTTTATCTCTGGATGTGTCCAGTGAAGAAATGATGTTTTGCTGTTTTAAATGGATTTATTGTTAAACTCCTTTAATTTAATTATAATTTTTCATATATTTTTTCACTGTTTTTAATTAAAGTTTCATTTCTTTTCTTTTTTTCCCCTTAAAGATACAATAACAGATTCTAGGCTGCTGCTATCAGCTACAAGCTTAAACAGAAATACTGTTTAAGCATTGCTTAAAAGGATCCATTATGCTTTTTTTCTAGAGTAGCTTTGCATGATTGCCTGTCTGGAACAAGCCATTCTATCTCCTCAATAAATCAATTTTCCAAATGGAAGACCTTCACAAACAGAAAGTTTGAGGGGAGCTTATAAACTATCTGAAATCAAACATTTGGAGTGAATCCTGAGGTTTTATTTGTACATAAACTGACGTCATTACTGGAAACACTG